GGCAAAAAACGATCCCCCTCCCACTAAACCAAGTCGAACGGCAGCAAGCTTTCTCGAAGATAGGGAAGGCCAAAGATACATTATCATATCCGGACGGAGCCACTGAGCTACATTTTACAGGCCATTACCGCATAAAACGCGTGCTCAACATGATTGAGATAACCTACAGTGTGTGGGCAGGGTGTGGTGAAGACGCCTGTTTCGTTGCGTCCACACCCTATTAAGAACTACTCAAATAGTGTTATCACCTGTCACGATTTCCATGATGTCTGTGAGGAGGACATCCTGGAGGGTTTGTTTGAGAATGGACGTGACGGTGGTGAGCAATATGCGATATACCGACCAAATGCAATACATTCCACGCTGTACGGAACGTGACTTTCTGATTCAAACTGGCCCGCTCAGTGGCGTCCTTAAAATCACACCACCAAACGTTAAAGTATGCTTCATGTGGTTTCCTAGCCACGTGGAAATTGTAGGGAACGAAAGGGAGGACGCCGCGGCGAGGTCAGCCGCATGTCGAGATCATCCCATCAACCTGCCGCTGGATGACCTGAAGTCGGTACATACCGGGGATATCCGTGACAGGCGGTAAAATGAGCCTGACGACATAAATCACGCATACAACACCATTAAACCCCTGATTGGCGAGTGAGAATTGCCTGATAGAAATGGAATATTTCAGGAGGTTGCTCTCTGTCGGCTACGGCTTGGGCATTCCCACACTACGTATTCGTTATACCTATCGGGCCAGGACGTGCTTCCCTCCTCCCACCTTTATCAGTCCTTGGTACGAAAATCGGCAAATCAGGGTAAGGGTTAAACTTGATGGCTTCCATCCTTTTTTTCATTTGACGTATGTTGGCGTAAAACTACGCATATCAGATCATGAAAATTCAGCTAGTACAACAGAGTGACATTTCGCCATCAACACACGTACATTGCCAGAAACTCAATCAGCATGCCAAGATTGCCCTTTGCATAATAAGCTCCATGAATATTTAAGCCTATCTGCTAAACACTGTGCGTGCTGTCCCTGTTCCTGCACAGTGGTCTAGTTGGGTAGCACTGCGCCTCATGGTATCACTCGCCGATATGGAGGCGAATCTGGGTACGGTACCTCTCTTTTGGATAATCTCCAAACCAATACCTTGGTGTTTGCCAGAAAAGGGCACAGTATCTCAATCTTCGGATATCATGAACGATGGATGTTATGGACTTGGGATGTTGCAGTTTTGGATGCTGCGAGCTTGGATGTTGCAACTCTGCTTTGGCATTAGGGACATTGAACGATCCTAGGATGATATGAACGCTGGATGCTGCGATTCTGGACGTTTTGATCATAGGACGCTATGAACTTCGATGTTTCAATGCGCATTTGGCACGCACCGTTGCTTGTCCACACACGGATAACTGCTCACCACTGTAGGTTTTTAGTCTCACAGAGCACGGCTCCGAGTCAGGCCCGCCACTCGGCCAGAACGGTCGGAAAACCGCGTCAGACCATACCGAAAGTGCGGCCTCGGTCCCACGCGGACACATCTTGCTGCACATGGAGCATGGCATGCGCCTCGCCATGCACTTCATCTCTTGGGATATCCCACTTTCCTGCGCGGTGGCTCGACGCCGCAGTAGTCGCGCCAGCCTCCACCGCCGCCGTCACCGCCGGCGGCGGCGAGTCATCGCCTGAAAACTGGCGTATGTGCTGATGATTCTACCACTCACTAGTTTCCCTGATGTGGTCGCGTTTGTCACAACCAAAAAGCTGTTTGGTACGGAAGAGACAGGATACTGGATGGTGATCCCTTAGACATCAAGAACACTCCACTGGACAACCTTCTCGAACTCGGATTTTTTTTACCGTGGGACCGACGTGAAAAATTAGCAGCCGGCCGCAGCCGGCCTATCCACGCGACGGATACACTGCCGTTGCGATCCGTCCGACCCACATTATGCGCGGCCGGGTGGGAGTGGACATCAACTTCACGGCTGCTGAGCTCCGCGGCGCTGGTGCCGCATACTAGCCGGTCACGCAGCATTTCATCGAGGACACTTGGCGCAGACTGACTGATAGGGTTTGACCTTCTTCCTTAATCTCGCCAGAAATACGCTCACCACATCATGCTAACCTCGGCAGCACGAATGGAAGCGGAATTTCGCTATGATTACAGACATCTGGGGGTTCAAAATGTACCCCAAGCACGTCTACCAGGTATCTGTAACGGCACTCACTTACCGCAGCCGCTGCCGCTGCCACTAAATAGTTCAGCAGACCAAGGGTCCTGGCTCCCACAATACTGAGAAAAAACAGCTCTTCTCTTGACCTGTTCATCGTCTCCAATGATGACGTAGGCGGCAAAAGACTGTGCCAACCTCATGGCCTAAGTTCCAACCGGCTGTACGTTGGCGCCGAACTCCGGCACCTTCCTAACGCATGCCAACGCACCGCGGAACCATACGTGGCTCGAATCCTCGTCACCAACGTCATGGACGCAGCGCTCCGGTACACCAGACAGTGTATTTGGTCGAGTGGTCACCGGACGTTGACACGGTATTCCAAGGCTATAAGCTCCCCGGTCGTGTGTACAGCAGCCGGGCAGCGGGCGAGCCTGGTCACCCGGCACCTGGGCTGTGCGCCACAGCAGCCGGGCAGCGGGCGAGCCTGGTCACCCGGCACCCGGGCTGTGCGCCACAGCACAACACGCACAGCGACAAAATATCCAAGCATCCACTTATGATTCCACAACTCAGTAACCCAACCTCTCGCCAACAAGCATCTTCCTTCAGAGCATGTGAAATCGGCTGCTGTTAAGTGCTGAAAAATATGTAGACACAGTTGGCGCTGTTTGGCAGTGATTGACCAAACTATGAAGGGGTCTCTTTGAACACCCAGGCGGTATATGCATGCCGTGTATTTACTATGAATCGTTCCATATGTATGGCTTAATGTTCGATTCGCGTCAATCGGTTACAAGTTACACGATCAATACGAAGATGCAGCGATGGTGAAAACACGTCAAAAACTTGAGAAAGGCTCACGGCGTCAAACAAAAGCCTCTTTTTCACACTGCCCGAGTTTAAATATGAGTGGAGCACGGCTCTGGGTGATCAGCCGGCGGCAGGTGGTTCCGGGAGAGGCCCTACTATATGGAACGCCCTGCGCGACGCACATGCCCGTAAAGAGGGCTGCTCCGGAGCGCCAGCCACCACCGACCTCGTGATGCGCTCACTCACAGAGGTCCGAGGGATGAACAGCGACCGGACCACCATCGGGACAGGGGGTCATTTAGGACCCTGAAGACGCCGATACCGTCGGGGCGCGTGACGAGGTCACTCATGCCACGCCAGCCCAGCGACCTTACGACCTCTTAGGTGTGACCCCGATCCCGGGCCCCCGAGACGATCCTGGCCGCCAAATTCACGACTTTCGCATCCAGCCGCTAGCATGCAGCAGCCCCGCCCGAGACTCAGAGACAGTACAGGGTAGGGGGAAAACATGAGCCTTGAAAAGGGGCTTGCGGGCTTTGGGTGCGAGATGATGCGAAACTCGTATAGACAAAACAGGATATGATCGCACTTTTTCGCTTACAGGAAATGTGCTCCCCCAAACAAGGGTACGGTTGATGGCCTCAGTCATTATCTTCACTGACGGCGAGGGGATTAATATCAAGCTGGAGATGTTGCCATGGAAAAATGAGTTGTGGCCCGGGGCAAGCCGACGAGAGGAAGGTGGTCTTGATGGAGTCCATCTTCAGGGAATTGGCAGTGACGTCAGATTGGAAGGCAAGGGTGGTTTTCTGCTGTCGGGATTATATGGTGGAGAAAAGGTCGCGGTGGGTGGAGTCGAGAAGTTGGGTTTCGCCGGCATAAGAAACCAGACGCCCTTGAGGCAAGTGAGATGGAAGGTCGTTCATGAGGACGCTGAAAGGGATTAGACCCACCAGGGACCCCTGAGGGACACCGTGTGACGTGGGGAGGGATAATGAACCACCTCTCCCCACCTGCCGCCGTCCACTTAGGTAAAGTTGAAACCGTCGAGGATCAATGCCTTGTCACTTCAGCTTGGTAAGGAGGACGCCGTGGTCAACGCTGTGGAAAGCTCGACTTAAGCCTGAGGAGGTGACGGCGACAAGTCCAGGATCGTTCGTGAGCGCTACCCACTCCATCGCGTCGACCACGGCGTTCTCCGTTGAGTTGCACGGCCTCCACGCGTATTGTGGACAGGCCAAAAGACTTTGGACATCGAGATAGCCGACAACTGCTGACAGACAACATTTTTGCATATTTTAAACGACACAGACAAAATTTATGTTGGCCTAAAATTGCTAGCAGCTCCCGTATATCAAACCTGTGAAGGGGAAAACTTAAGCTGTCTTCCATGCACAGGGAGAACGCGGGTGACGGTAGACGTACTGACTAGGTGAAGCAAGTGGGGCCTGATGACAGCGAAAGATTTGTTAGCGCACGCAGCGGCACATCATCAATTTCAACAGCTCTTGATGAAAAGAAGTCACTCACAGCCTTGGTTTTCGGGCACGATCACAGGGTATAAACCTAGCCTCGCTATGGTTACGCAGAGTGATCTCGAAGGGAGAGGCGGGACGCCATAGCTGCACGACGCCAGTTCGGCCGTCATTTTTGGACCAACTGAGGCGAAGTGACTGTTAAAAGCGCGAGGAAGGCAACTTTTCCGATGGTCCTAGCAACGTGGGTTGCAGGTTACGAAACGCAAAAACGGATGAGCATAACTACTAGTCACTGCGCTGAAGTTACCAGAAAATATCAGGATATAATTTTATAGCTGCGAACGAGAACGATAACGATGGGGTGACTTTTTGGGGCGCTTAACGCATCTGTCATACAATGGCGACTACGGCAAGAGGCTCACTCCTAATTCCAGGTAACTATGTCCGTGTTTAGGGGATTTTGATATATATATATATATATATATATATATATATATATATATATGTGTATATGTATATAGTAGACGACACTTTCGCCTAGATATTCTAGGATGTAATATAATTCGATGCTGTCAGACCGCAGGATGCAATATGTCGAAACGTACGGAAGGAGGGGGTGTGAGTGACAGAGTCAGTGAGTGTTATAAGCTTATCACAGAGACACTTCGTTGCTGACTACATTGGAGGTTGCCGTCGGCCGTCCTCGAACGTTTTCATTCGGAGTCGTGGAGATATGTTCCTATCTTGCTGTCCAATTCCCGTCTTCTAAAACAAAGGGAAAGCATGGATGTATACGTCGCAGAGGCATTTTTAAAGAACGAAAGTCTTAACTCGCATGTTATTCCTGTCTTTCTTGGTCCGTCTGAGCAGCCCTCACCGAACTGTGTTGGTAGCACAACCGTTCTACAGCGCACTCTTCCATCCAGCCTACAGAGTTGAAGTGTCAGGCAGATCCATTCCTACATCCTGCATTCCGCAGAGCTATGAACAAATTCGATCAGACAAATTTCGATGAACCTGGCACCAAAAGAAAGATTATTTCATCGTCTTGAGCCAATCTCTTCACCATTCTTGTCTAGAGAAGCCAAATTATCACGGCGTACTGGGTTAAAGTTTTCGTGCATGCATGTTCTAAGTGTAATGAAGTGTAGAACTTTTTGAGAACTTCTTGCAAAATTTCTGGGCATATCATTCAGGTATGTGTTAAATATAACCACTATTGCGGGACATGCGCCATGCCAACTTCAGTTACCGGCTGCCAAACGTTTAGCAACAATTAGAAATTCAGCCCACATCGCACATCACATGTCTGTTTAGCTTAACACTGCAGCTTTTTCTGCTGAGCTTCTTTCTACCCTGTGTCTATTACCCTGCCCCTGGGTGTTCTTCACATGGAAAACTAGCGTGATATCCCCACTTATGATCAACTTCCTTTACGGCAACTTGCCATCAGCAGGACACAGTCCTTAAATGGCTAACACCAGGCCAACTTACACCTGAGCTGTGTCCTTGTCGGCGTCCAGCACGAGGACAGGACAGGAGGGTGTGTGGCGGGTGGCCCCCAGCAGCCACTCCTCGTGTAGGGCGTGGATGTCCCTCACATGGGACAGCGACATGGTGCTTTCTTCATCACGGCACCGCTGCCGCATGCGCTCGAATACCACTTCCGGTGAGCTTCGCAGGTACACTGCAGCGAAAAAGAACACGCAGTCGTCATCAGTAAACTCCTCAAATAGACAGCATCAGAGATCAAAGTGGAGAAATCGCGTACGAGACAAGCCCGGTTTCCGCTTTGGGAGCCTATGTAAAGGCGTAACGGTAACAAAACAATACATTCGACAAGGGAGATGATCGGCAATAACATGCTGGTCCCAAACAATTTGACAGCACGAAATTTTTGTTAAATCACATTCGTTCGTGGACACAAATGCATCACGTCGGCAAGTGGATTTTTCACGCGTAGCATAATACGCCTCTAACAGATATTTAGCACAGACGTGGTCATCCAAACCCGCATGATCCAACGGCCTTAGCAACGAGCAGTACGAAAACCTGCAGGAGGAATGCCGTCTGGTAATAACGGGGGTTCAGAGTCTCGGACAAAATATGGCAGCTACGGCGCACATTTTAGACTAGCCCATATAATTCCATGCTAAAATGCTGCTTTTCAGACCCGCAGGCAGGAGTGAAAAAGCCCCCGTTTTACAGGATACGATTGGTGACAAAAATGGAAACTTTTGCGAGCTATTTGGTTACAAAATTGTGAAAATGTAAACAAATTCGACAGGCTGTCCCAGTTCGGCGAAGCTCAAAGCTTGGTATAAGTCTGCATTCACCACCCCTTACAGCGTGAGCGTTGTGGAGCACATGCCGAAACATCAACGTTTCGCTGTATGAAGCCGTAAAACGTTTTCCAAATGTTATCCAGTAAAGCAGCTTTGATCGGGATATTTCTAGCTGGTGACAGAAATGCATCAAAAACTTTACTTTATCAGTGCTGACGTCAAAGATCAGTGGTTCACGGTGCTTGTTTTTCTCAATGAGTCTCAGATTAGTGCTTTTCAAAGCTTTTCAGCCAAAACTCACTTCACATGCTAAGCAGCATAAAATGCCAAATAACTTCGCTTAGTACCAGTCGTAAGAATTGTGGCTGGCCTTAGCACTTTGCGACGAACGTGATTAGTCTGCTACACAATGTTTTAAATCATCGTGCCTCTCGGACCGTTGGCTTCGAATGATCGCTACGCGACTGTGAGTCGAGTTCAGTGCAAGGCTGTAGGCTGCCATCGGTTATGTTTGTGTCGTGAAAAGCTCACCGGCTGTAGAGACCTAGCTGATTGTCAGTTTTTTAAAGATGCTGTTCGACTTTCCTTAACATCTTCCATGGAGGGCGTCTCCGTTAATAGCGCTAAAAAGCTTTGTTGATCAATGAGGCTCATTGCTTGTGGACACCCGAACCGTAGCTTCAGAGGTCAACGGAGGATATTGGATCACGTAGGATGTTGGGTGAATGCGTGCCAAGGATTCGCCCACGGGCTTCCGCTTTCGAGACGAGCAACAGCTTTAGAGTAGGAGGCCGTGTGTCACTGGCATAGACATCACACACCGCTCGCTGCATCTTAGATTTAGCGAACTGACTAGCTGACGGGCGCTGGCGCGCGGAAACTATGTTCAAGTTGGAGGGGGGGGGGCAGCTAAAAAATACCAAAGAGGCCCCCAAGACCAAATAATGGGCCCCCTACAAGGCAGAATGGGCCCTATACAGATCAGAATGGGCCCTTCAATTAAATAATGGGCCTTCTTCAATTCAGAGCAGCCCTAATACGAATAAAAATGCCGTTCTGCGGATCAAAACAGGCCATCCACAGACAGCAATGCGCCCGCTACTGGTCAGATGTAATATACTAGCTATATGTTTTAGGGGGCCGAAGTCCTGCCCTGTAAGCTTTAATATAAACTCAGCTCTACGCTCAAAACTGGTACAAACGCTTACCAGCAAGGAGTGTTGAATTTCAATTAAAATGTTTGAGTTTTGTCTCCACCTTTGGTTTGAATACAACTTCGACAGTCTTTTCTGGTCACCAGTGATCAGCTGAGCCGAGGCCCATGTTTCGATTCTGTTAAGGGATCCCCTGTTGCGGTGATGAACACTGCTTGGCAGCCCAGTCCATGCGCTGCGAACGCTGCTGTGGTTACCTATGCACCATAGGAGTGCACGACTATGTGAACGCATGTTTTCTTTAATTTTTTCCTTTGTCTTGCTCCGGACAGCATTAACCAGCTCAAGCAAATATTTTGCGCCAGATTCCACGCAACCGCCATAGCGCTCTCAACTGCAGGCAGTTGAGACTGTGCTATACTTTTATTATGACTTGATGGCTGCTAGGCAAAGCATTGGATTACTTTAGTCTTTCTCCAAATTCTGGTGTACTTTTAGTGCGTTTGATGCCTACTGAGCATTACTTTTGAGCACCCGGTGTCGTACTGCCCTGAGTGATAACATCACTCGCTATCTTTCCTATATTTTGGTTTGTTCTTGTTTTGTAATGTATCTCCGCTGTCAACAAACGCAACTTATTAGCGTGAGTACATCATTGTTATTGTCTGGAGGGAGAACAGATTACTCCAATAAATGGCAATGCCAAAAGCATTCGTGAGGAACCACAGGCTGTCATGTTGAAGGAAACAAAAACAAATTTTCCCCTCGAAATTTGGAGCCTCTTAAAACTTAGCATTATAGGCTCCCAAAATGTAGGCTTTGGTGTCCATTCGCCAAAGGGGCTGATTCAGTATTTCGTCTGTGGGAAACCAGGCCATCGCGATGCCCCTGGAATTTTGCACCGCTCGTTAATTAATGCTTGTGGCGCTTTATACCGCTTCTGAAAATTCGTGCATCTTGAACATAAGGATTAAATGACCCCGAGATGAAGGTTGCGTTGTCCACTCCCTGAACAGTCGGAACTGAAATGGATTTTGTCACAATGGCAGTGACCGCCAGGTTGCTGACGGTACCGTGACCACAGTCAGCGAGGCGCACGAGACACACTAATAAGCATTAACGGATAAGTGAGCTAGTGCCCACCGCAGACCACCTTCGGATGCACACCGGGATTAGCTGGCGCTATCGAATACGAGATGAGACGTGGAGCAGCCTCACCGATCAGTTGAGGGTTGATGTCCAGGCATGTAGTTAGCCAACTGTACCACTGGTCCAGGACGGTGTACTCGACGTCGGTCATCCTTCCCGTCCGGTACAGATTCTCCACAAACACGTGTCTGCCATAGAGCCGCGAGGAGTGTCAGACAGACAGACAGGGGGTTCAGATGTTCACGTACCTGGATGTCTGGACAGAGTTAAGAGATAAGGCATACACTCACATACATTCAGATACGCTCACGACTCATTCTGCTTTGTTAGGTTTGGAGCAGTCTTATCTCACGCACAGAGAATAAATTATCTCCCTGAGCACTTTGAATTAATTCACTGACCGTAAAATCCGCATAGGCAAAAGAAGAAAAATGCGTCATGTCAGACTGGGGAGCCGTATTAAAATGCTTCTCAAAACTTGGTGAGAACCGTGTGAGAATAGTTTCTCCATCCATTGCGTGGTCCGCTGAAGACAATCACCGGGAGAAGCACTGCCAGAGTCCGTGACCAAAACGACTGCTTGGGTCCTCCGGGTTCATCCCGGAGTACTGGTTCAAACTTCAACCAACGCGCTTCTCGCTAACTGGCCTTTGTCGCTCGCTGTGACAATCACAAACGTTCATTTGCACCAGCGAAACAATATCAGAAGAGGAACCACTTTGAAGCTCGCAGGCACATACAAGCTCAAAAGTACCTCTTACCCGTAACAGCTGGCAACTACCCTCAGCACATTCTGCCGTCGTTATGACGATGGGGGTCGCGACAAGTGCAGCTGTCGCGAACTTACGATACACTCTGGGGCTACCAACAACGGAAGAAGTATAGCGCTGTTACAAAGCGTTGACAGCGTAATTTGGACTAGGAAATAATTGCAATTCATATCCTTATCATATATTGATGGTGCTACCGTGGCACTACCCAGTGCCATCACTCTTCGTAAATGGTCCTTAGGTTTCACCTATGCATGTTTGTACGTTCGTCAAGTATGGTTTTTAAATATGTCCCAAATATGGGACACCTCTTAAGCTGGCTAGCGTTGCAAGGAAATTTGTTCCCCATTCTCAAAAGAAGGTAGGTCAGTCGGGGAGGAAAAAACTTCGTATTGCTAAACACGAGACATGTTCCACGTCATATAATCAAAGATGTACGATCAGGTAACGGGTTGTACATCCGAGTACCAGGTCAAGTTACAAAGCACACACAAACACATGCAAAACACTTTTACAGCCAGTTTGACACCAATGCAAGTCCAATAATTTGAGTTACACAGCTGCCAATGGCTGACTGAATAGGTCCAAAGTAATGTACGACCTCAGCTGCTTGTTTTTGCCAGGCATTCTTTCTCGAATGAGGCTGGCTTCGAAAACTTGTAAATAGCGTTAATTTGGACTTATCGTACAACCAGTATGTCTTCAGTTAGGTCAGAGAGCAAGAATTTTTATGTTGGAATTTGCGCATATGCTGATCTGTCGCCACCTTCTGCAGGTGCATTGTCATGCGTCGTGGTAGGGATGTCGTAACCGTTCCAATATAAGTCCCATTGTGAAGCCGGCAATTCAATTCAAAGCCTGTATTGGTTGCTCAATATATCGCCAATAAATGCGTGGTTTGGGGTCCAGGTTTAGGTTCAACACGAGCCTCACATAGCCATCACTGATGCGCCGATGACATACTAGTTGATGTCAGAGACAAGGCCTACCTTCACCGACTGAAGGCTGCGTTCCAGCGGGAAATGATGTTACGATTCACAATTGACCTGAGAGCCCACAACCGTATATCATTTCTTAGCACCGATGTGGATGCAAATACGGATCTTTTATGACCTAAGCAAACCTACCAAAGCTGTTCAATGTCAGCGTGCCTAGCAAATGCCCAGTGAGTCACCGCACAGCCGTCATCGGCCCGTGTGTGCGACGTGCCGTAACATGTTTCTTCAGCTGGTCCAACACGCACTGCGAACTTGAAAATCGCGAGCAACTCGTTAATAACATGTTTTCGAGCAGCGCCAATTAGCCAAGAGATTAGGTTCACCTTGAATCGCAACTTGAAACCACATACGCAACTCTCCCATCAACGCATGCATGGAAATCAAATGCCCCCTAAGCCCCACTTATACGTCATAAGCTTCATATCACGAGCCTTTAAATAATGTGACAGTGGAATATTGGTGCCACGGTTTATGAAACATACGGGACGTTAAAAATAACTACTTTCCGACTAAAGGGAGGTGTGGGGACCTGATCTCAAAAGCTTATTTTTTTATCGCAATGCGAAATGTAATAAAGTCTGAACACCCGATAACCAGAATGAATAGCTAAGCTAAAAATTTGAGATGAATTTGTTCTTTCTATTTATGTTGGCCGATCTGTTGTGGAACGACCGCCCTGTTATATTGGTCACACTCAGATAAGGATAATGTTCTTGATGTAACTACTAACCACAACGTTTTGCCAACTGGTCGGTCAGCCGGCAAATCCTGCTGTGGAGTAACCACGCTGTTATATTCATCACACTTTAGAAAGGGCTACTGCTCGCCGACACAACTCTATACCGAAAAATGTTTGCCAAATGGCCAGCCAAGGCGTACCGGCCGCTGTAGATTGACCGCTCCATGACTTTGACGGCAGCGGAGGACGGTCGTGCGTGGATGTCAGCCATGGTCAGCTGGGCGTAACTCTGGAACATGAAGCCCCAGCGGTCCCGGTCCTCGACGAGAAGAGCCTGCCGCCAGGAACATACCGTGCTTTTGTCGCTGTACAGGTCCATCTCAAAAGAAAGTGCATGTCAACCTCAACAAAGTCGAACACAAATCAAGCCAGTTCTAGCACAATGGCGACGATTGGAGTTTGAGCCCCTGCTGCTTACGCCTGCCTTGAGTGTTAAGAGTAAACGGGATTTAACAATGTGGATCCATTTCCCAGCGTGTAGTTTTCGTAGTATGCGGAAGTCTGTTTGCTGTAAGCTTCATTAAACCCCTGTTTACCTAGCATTTGTTGCAGATGGCTTGAGAAAGCACACGGCAACTAAGTCGGAAAAATATTTACGGTGGGACAGATCCGCACCTCGGGGTTGCCAAGCAGCAAAATTGCTTACTTTTGACCATGAGGGGACCTCTTACGTATAGACTCGTTGTTTGGCAAGCATTCTCGCGGGGTGCGGGGCGACCGCCCCCCCCCCCCCGTCCCTGGGTGGCGACAGATTACCCCGTGCCTCCCCCTAAATTTTCTGTTTGCGCTCATCGGGTGTTTGAATCTAGGCAATGTAGCCCGCTATGCAAACGCGCGTTGCGATCATATCCATTCCATGTTCATGCGTCTTTAGTTTGGACTTCCCTTCACCCTGACAACGCCTAACCAATCACGGCTGATCACAACACTTGAGCGAAAACCAAACCAATCGGCGACTGACCCCAGTTACAGCATAGCAAAATGGAGGCCTGGCCACATCTTTACTTAGGGTCAAAACGGCTGAACGGCGGTATGTGAATAATAGTTGTATGCATGCAATGCTACAGGTCAACAGGCTTCCGTCGCATGACAAAAAAGTGAAGCCCCAGGGAGTCAAAGGACGAAAAGTCAAATGACGACGAACCTGAATTGATAAAACTCAAGTAGATAAAACTTTAAGTGCAGCAAGTTAAAATGACAACAAGTTAAATGGCAAAAAGTCAAAAGAACAGCAGGCCAAGCAGCAAAGGTCAAAGTGGTGAAAAGTCAAAAGGTAAGGGTCGATTGTAAAATGTCAATGGGCAAAAGGAAAAAGGGATAAGGATCAAGTGAATGACAACGAAAATCACAATGAAGACAAAATGGAAAGAGACGGTCAAAGAAATGCGAGTCAAAGTGGAAGAAGTCCCTGGAGCCCTGTAACAGGAATCCCCTTGTTCACGGCGTGGTGGCATTTCCAGATCAAACGTGGGGCACTCTGCGGCCTCCGCACAGCCAAACGTGGGGCACGCTGCGGTCTCCGCACAGCCAAGCCGCATGCGTCATTCTTACTTTTACGCTGGAACTCGTTTATATGTCGGCATCGCCCCTTTGTAGATCTACAGGGGGCCCTTCTACTGTAGATGGAGTCAGGGACAGCGCAAAAGGGAGGGAGCAAGACAACAGTTACACAACCCTACCACAGCCCCAACCCTACTGACGGGCAAGAAGGCGAGAGCTTGTTCATAATATCATTTTCGGGACGTCCCATTTATTCAAACTGGAAGCTTATGGTCATACATATGCTATCCCCATGTGGACCTAGAATCCTCCCTTTCCATAACTGAGCAAACAGGTCCTAATTTCCCCTTATACTGCTGCATGCATTTTCGGTTATCATTAGTTCCCTCGTGAATCGGATGGTCTCGACTTTAGATCAGAAAAACTATACTGTCTTAAGACGGCCCTTTTGCTGGCCCAGTACGCCCCATTCGTAAATCATGTGACCCTTTTCTATATTACATCTATCGGAACATCAGCAGCTCCTTGTTCCGAAACAGGAAGCCCACTTCCACATCAGAAAGATATTGTGCGGATCAGAATGTCATTTATCGGTGAGGTCTTTGTCGGATTGTGAGGCGCCCTCATTCGTAAAAAAGCTCGTAATCGATCCATCTTTGGCATGACCTGTAGCAGTGATTGGTCGCATTTGACAAGCACTGCTATTTGCAAGATTATCTCGAGTGACCAGATTTGCTTGAGTTGGACGCAATGACCATGCCAAACGTGCTTACCCTATCCGGAAACACTTTGTTTTGGGTTCTAGAATAAAGTCTGCCATGCTGCCGTATCTTGTATTTTGGAGGCTGCTTGTTTAAGCAGCCTTCATTTGTGATAAGTGATAGGAACGGTCATGCAGTTTTTTATAGCTTGTTCTGCTGTTATCTTTTTGGCTATTCTTTTTGGTTTGTGTATTTTACATTTTGCTGTTGATTTGTGTACTTCTGACTGAAATCTCTCCGATTTGTTGTCGGTGTAAATTTTGCGTCTTTCCTTCTTCATTCATTCGACACATATTGTTTTTTAATTTGAACTGACGTTTTGCGCTTTGCTTTTGTCATTTTGAATTATTGCTAGCTGACTTCTGCCTTTTGAAGTTCTAACTTTTGGCTTTCTGTCATAGCTCCGGTTTACAGACATCGCCTTTCTACAAATTCGTTAGTTGCAATGCATAAAATCCCCACAAAACGAACGCATGTTGTAGCGCAAACACAACAATTGTGGCGGAAGCCCGACCCCAGTGGAGCTGAAGTCGGGCTTCAGTCTTATCGGTCGGTCTTATCCATACCTTAACCGAAGAACAGATAACCAGAAGTGCCCTCATTCTATCCTAGCGACGCAATAAACCGTACGGTAGCACCAGATAACGTAAACTCAAGCAGTGAGCTACAATTGCTTTTGAACTAGGGTGGGAGTGAAAAATTCCATCGCAAAAAGATCGTCCGGGAGTGAAAAATTCAATCTACAAAAGATGGCACTTATGAGCTAGAGAATGATGCTTCAGCAAACAGGCATCTATTTCAAGGTGGCATGGACGTAATATTATAAGCCTGACAAAACTGTGTTGTTTCTTAACATCTTAGGCCATTAAATAGAAACAGAATGCATCAAAGCATAGCAGCTTCGTGACAGTGTGATGAACATACAAATTCAGTTTAACCAATAATTTGATGCTGCACTTTGCACTTCCCTTCCACAGCATTTTTAACACAAAGAAAAGCAAAGGAATTCAACAACAAAATAACAACAGAAAATTCAACAGGGACAAAGCGCTTAAAAAAACAGGACTCCTACGCATCCGCTCATAACCAAGTCAAGCACAATACGAATACCCCTGGCTTCTGTTAAGATATGGTCAGGGAAAACAAGCATTTTGTCACTGTTTCTTACAAAATACCAATGCTTATTTCCATGGAAGTAGCCTAACTATGCCTAACCTAAAGAGGCCTTACTTCATCTCATCCTGTCTGAACTGTTGATATCACTGCAGTAGTTGTGAGTTACTGAGTCTTGCGCATTTCCTATTGTCACTTGCCATGCACTTTAACGACTGATCCTAACTTAGAGCAGCCCATATGTTGGACATCATCTCAACTCACCTATCTGTTGACAGCAGCACTCATGATAAAAACATGATAAAGCTCATTTTTTGGCTGGTTTCAACTTGCATTTTTATTCAGCTCATTTGTGTGTGCTTGTTGACATCGTACACAGTTGACAACACACAAATGAAAACATTTTAAATCACTTCGAACAACTTATTCTGATTGTCATGGTTAACCTCTGTCAGTAGCAATAATGGGTATGCTCCACAAAACAATCGCTGTTCTTCAAAAGTAACATAACTTTTAGATGACAATGCCAGTTTTGCTGCTTGTCTTTTCAGCTGCAGCAAAGGCATCTACTTAGGCTTGTTAATTCATGTTTAATGACATAGTTTGAGATGTTGGTTTCACATTTTAAATGAAATCGTCTGACTATTTACTTAATGCTGATATTTGCCTCATATTACAATTGCTATGCAGCTTGGAGTATCCCACTGCTAAAAATGTGAGGTATATATATATATATATATATATATATATATATATATATATATATATATATATATATACATGTATATAGTAAAGTCATCTGCCAGTCGGCAAACCACGACAACTATGGAAAACATCGGGTTAAAGCAACCATGAGGGACCACTTCAAGAAATCTGGGACAAATAATAAACAAAATGGAACAAAATAGGCCCATTGCATTCCTTGTGGCATCATAATTTATCTTAGGCAAAACTCGATGGATTAAAACAGAAAATGGTCAACTCTGGTTACAAATCATGTGTCGAAAGCAGGTAAGGTAAGCAATTACTTGGTCCACAGCAGACTTACTGGCTTTTTCAGGGCACACTTCTTACTGGTCCCCCAAAACAAAAAGTCAGTACCACAGGTTACACAGTTTGCTGACAAAGTCATCCTACTCACCCACCAAATATAAATAGCAATCACGTCCACCAACCTACGGGATCAAAATTCGAGACAAGTAAGAGGTGTGCATGATAAACATTTCCGGAGGGCAGATTTTCGCCCACAGACACTTCTGTATTAGCTGCGTCAGGTCTGCCCCAAAGCTCTATATGGCAGCATAAGGATAGCCTTGTCGGGTAGCCTGGTGCATTAGACACTCGAAAGGCTTAGATCTATAATTATCGAACACCGCCATGCACCCAAAAAATGGCCAACTGAGGGTTTAACAGGGCACAAATGGCGGTAAAAATAAGTTTTGTGCTTCAAATTGTCTTGTTCATTCCCTATGAATTGTTTACTCTTGGGTGCATATCAAACATGTTTGGGCGGCTGGCGAATTAATAAAATTTATGTATAAAATACGTGCAAGTTTGTAATTGAAGCATCTCGCAGAGAAATTGTTCAACATTTTAAACAGCAGATGGTACCTCTAAAAGTAATGGAAAAGTAAGGAAGAATAAAGTGGTATCACACTCGTACGATACCACGAAAAACAAAAGTAGCTGGATAAATATAAAGACTTATAATAAAGACTAATAAACATAAAGACTGCTACTTTTTGGAAACTTTTTGAAATCAGCTGACTTGACCTTCAAATATGTTAAAATGGGTGCTCAAATTGTGATATTCACCCTGTAAATTTTATTTAGAAGCCATTTCTTGAATTTTTCACTCCTGCATTTCGGGAGTGATGCGATTTAGTGGTTAAGTTTCTTC